GTAGTGCGGGTCCAATCACGAACAGGGTGGGACGGTATAAAAATAACATGTAGTCACTTCTTGAGTGTGCTTGCCGGTCGAGGGTCGCGTCATTGCCCGTGGGACCGCCCCTTGTTCCTGTAGTGCTTCCGCTTTGAGGTAGGTCTGTTTGAGCTGGGTAGTGAACACAGATGTGGGATTTTGTGTTAATTATTGTGTGATTTATAGCTGCGGGGATAGCTCACGGAGTGAGCGTTGAGCGGCGGCGGCTCTCCCTTTTGTATGCCCTCTCGCATTTCCGTGCTTCGGGGGATGTTGTGTCCCGTGTCCTGTGTATGCGTGGCGTGGATGGGCGACGGGTATGAATTAAAGGTACAATAAACGTCCACTTTGTACAGCGCTCATTCTTTTATATATTGTAAGTATGCTCATGGTTGTATTTTTTTAGGAGGAATAGATGTGTTGCGACGCCTGGTGGGCAACGCTGATTTGACGCTGCTGTTTTATACCTAAAGATTATCTCGATAACAAACTCGTCCCAACACATGTGTGTGTGCACAGCCTAAGCGTCTAGTGTGACGCCTGTTCGTTCTCCAGTAGCTACGGGCCACCGTGATCGCTGGTGTCTGCCACATACTTTCCAAGTGTTTGTATTTGTTTTGTTTTTGGTATTTTTCTTATTTTTTTCAGTATATTCATTTATTATGGTTTTGTGCTATTGACTGTTCTGATTGGTTTACTTTGAGTGGTTGCAGTGTTGTATTTGGTTGATTTGTGATTTCCATCAAGGTGCTGATAGAAGGTCAGTGAGGGTAATACCCAGCGTTGGCACTAAACCTTGAGCTTCATATTTTCATTTTTTTGTGGTTTCTAGCTTACTAATTTATTATTTGTGTATGTTGGAGTGCATTGACAAGTACGACCTGCGCGTGTGCGATTTATTTTCTACTATTTGCTACTGCAATACCGGCGCATTGCTGAAATAACAGATCTGTCTATTCACTGCCGATCATAATATGAAATTGCTATATGGACTAGTGACTGTGAATATTAAAGACTGCTATCAAATCTGATTGTTCAGCGAGTCTCTGCAAATGAGTGCCGCAGGTTCATGTACTACACATACACAAGTACACATTTATCTTCAGCATTTCATCGTCAGAAACCCGTCAAAATAAAAGTTTGGTTTATCGTGAAGAAATTACCACAGATATATTTTACTGGAGTGAAGCTATATTGTCATTTAGTTATTACTAGTACCTAGCAGTGGCAATAAAAGTAGGTTGGTGTTTGTATCAGTTTTAACACTGCTATTATGAGGTATCACCATATGTCATCATTCTTTTTTCTTTAGATTAAAGATGATATCAAGGGGAATGTCTATACTTAAAAATCCTGGGTGTTGTGACACTGTTTTTGCTTTTAGATCAACAAATAATAACCCAAAATGATTGTCTTGATAATGTCATGCATACGTTTTTTTTTCCTGTCCTGGACTCGGTCTTGACTCGGACTCGAACCTTTTTGGACTTGGTCTTGACTTGGACTCGACTAGTCATGGTCTTGGACTTGTCTTGGACTCGACAAAGGTGGTCTTGACCACAGCCCTAGAAAAAAGTACTTCACATTTGTACGTGAATACTAACGAAGTAGTTCCTTACATTCCACCACTGGTTATTTTGAAAATTAAAGTAACAAAATGTAGGCCTATTGTCACAATATAAACAAATTGTTGCGAACTACAGCTGCGTCCCATATCATAGTGCGCGTCTGAAGCGCTTGGACCGGTCTAGCCTAGGAGGATTGTTCTTGTCGCCTAGCAACTGTGACTGACAGCTGCTGATGACGAGCGGGAGTAACATTTCACTGGACTTTTTTTTTATATTCAACTGGGCTTTATATTCAAATAGGGTTGAAAACCTGTGAAAATATATTCACCACGGTCCATTTCTGTACATAATAAAAAGAATACACTAGCCTACAAAATCGCATCAAGGTAAGATATAAGTAAACATTTGAACCATATATATATATATATATATATATATATATATATATATATATATATATACTTACCTAAAGGATTATTAGGAAGGAACACCATACTAATACTGTGTTTGACCCCCTTTCGCCTTCAGAACTGCCTTAATTCTACGTGGCATTGATTCAACAAGGTGCTGAAAGCATTCTTTAGAAATGTTGGCCCAAATTCTGACTCTACCATCTGAATGTCTCAACAGAAATCGAGACTCATCAGACCAGGCAACAATTTTCCAGTCTTCAACTGTCCAATTTTGGTGAGCTCTTGCAAACTCTTTTTCCTATTTGTAGTGGAGATGAGTGTTACCCGGAGGGGTCTTCTGCTGTTGTAGCCCATCCGCCTCAAGGTTGTGCGTGTTGTGGCTTCACAAACGCTTTGCTGCATACCTCGGTTGTAACAATTGGTTATTTCAGTCAAAGTTGCTCTTCTATCAGCTTGAATCAGTCGGCCCATTCTCCTCTGACCTCTAGCATCAACAAGGCATTTTCGCCCACAGGACTGCCGCATACTGGATGTTTTTCCCTTTTCACACCATTCTTTGTAAACCCTAGAAATGGTTGTGCGTGAAAATCCCAGTAACTGAGCAGATTGTGAAATACTCAGACCGGCCCATCTGGTACCAACAACCATGCCACGCTCAAAATTGCTTAAATCACCTTTCTTTCCCATTCTGACATTCAGTTTGGAGTTCAGGAGATTGTCTTGACCAGGACCACACCCCTAAATGCATTGAAGCAACTGCCATGTGATTGGTTGATTAGATAATTGCGTAAATGGTAAATGGACTGCATTTATATAGCGCTTACACAGACCCAATGGCCAACAAAGCGCTTTACATATTGCCTCACATTCACCCATTCACTCACTCACTCATTCATACACCGACGGCAGTGTCTGCCATGCAAGGCACCATCCAGCTCGTCAGGAGCAGCTGGGGTTAGGTGTCTTGCTCATTGACACTTCGACACTTGTGTCAGGTGGAACCGGGGATTGAACCACTTTGTTTGTAGACAACCTACATGAACCACTGAGCCATATATATATATACATATATACACACACACACACATATATATATATATATATATATATATATATATATTTTTTTTTTAAAGTAGGTCAATACATTTTATCATACATATTTCAAAGTTAAGGATTCATTATTTTGATATAGATTGCATTGGAACAAACACTATAACAGTTTTGATTAGTTTATTTTTGACAAAACATACTATATATTTAACATATGAGCAGAAACTGTCTAACAAAAGCTTAGTTGATTTCTATTTTATAGTAAAAACTTCATAATCTATCCAAAACTAGTCAACGAAATATTGTCTTTTATTTCGTCTGTAACAGTGCGCATCTGTGCGTTCGTTCATTCACACACACAGACACCCGATTAATTTAAACAGTCTTTTTGGTTTTACAAACACTATTCTATATCACGATTAGAACAGATCTCAGTAGGCTATAGCAATATAGTTTGGATGTGTTCATGTAAAATAATGTGGAAGCGAGAGTGAATGAACGGCACAGATGTTGTGGTAACATCGTGCGCGCGTCTGTGCCATTCATTCATTCATTCATTCATTCATTCATTCACACACAGACACGCAATTCATATTTAAACAGTCTTTGTGCAGTTTACAGACACTATTCAATAACGCGATTAGAACAAAGCACTTAAGAGTAAATTACTTCCTACATCAGCTGAATCCGTTGCTCCTTCAAATGAAACTACCAGCACTTCTGAGGTAACTTTTCCAGGATTATTAAGATAGTATTATTCCTCACAGCGCAGCAAGACAAGGTAAAGTACAAGATTCTTATTAAACTGGATGTTTTATGCAGCTGATGTGGGCGTTTTCATGGCTTGCCTCAACATTTGCGTTTGAATAGCACACGCTCTCAGTGGGCGTGCTCACATTAACACGTCATACGCTATAATTAGCTGAAAGGAAAAATACTGACAACTCTCTCTTTTCATACAGATTACATAAACTGAGAATATTTGTTTTTTATATAAATTACTTCATTTAAAAGAAGAGAATTTCAGCTTCATAAAGAGAAATTGCTCGTGTCTCTGTGACAAGTATTGACTGAGATACAGTTTCAGAAGCGTTCGAGAATGGACTTCAGTCACAGAGAGAAGGCAAAACGCGCATCATGTTTATTTTTATGTTTATTTACACTTTGTTTTTATTGTGAGTATACACACACAAAAATAGACACTTAACAGGATCGAATGATGTATAACACTTATATGTAAGATCAAAATCAGCAGAGTATTTTGAGTCTCTTTTGCACTTATAAGAAAAAAAGGGAGCTGGTATCGCCGGCGATACCGCCGACCCCAGAGGGTTAAATCATATTTTCAATTACTGTATATATGATTTTGCAGCCATTTTGCCTAAAATCATCTTTAAATGTCTTTAATTGCTCATTGTTGCAGTTGGTCTGACACTCCCAGCCATGTTGGCATGTCTTATCGTCTTATTTGCGCTTGGCCCAGATAATTGCTGCTTGCAGCTATATTTATTATTATGTCTGATACCTGCAATGATGTTGTAATCAAGTCAATTGTGAAGGCGTTTGCGTAGTATTGTAGTTCTCATAATCAGTACACAGGAAATTAGTGTATTTGGTTTTTGAAAACCAGTTGATTGGATGCTCAAATGAAAGTCTAGCTTTGTGTTAGTCTTCCTTGTTCATTTGAATGTAAATAATCCAGAACCAACGCACTAAAAACACAAGCACAGACAAAAACAATATCTCAAATAAAATGTGGGTAAAATACATATTTTTAAGCAGGTGGCACAGTAGAAAAATCTTTTGTTCAATATGCAAATTAATTACAACAAAAAAATAATCTAGATGTATTACAATCAATATTTTTTTCTATGGCGTCATATTAATACTTAATATTTATATTTGTAACAAATTAAACAAACCATATAACTTTATTACTTCTGATAATTTTCACTTCTTGCTCTTCGTTATTCGTACTAGACAAAGTGCCGTGCTAATGCAATCTTTTTTGATACAAGCATGCCATTTACAGTAGCTGCCTCAGTGCAAATATAGAAACTCCATCATGATGTTGATTGCTGACATAATGGTTCAGAGTCCTGGAGAGGCAGAAACATGACAGTAAGTTCAAAATCTGTTTTTATAATAATAATAATTTGTTACAGTTATATGGCACTTTTCTCTGCACTCAAAGGGTTTTTTATGGGTTTATCATACTTGAAATTTGTTAACCTAGAGTCTCAGGTTTCGAGATTTCACACTGTACATTTAAAAACCCTGGATGGGACTTTTTATTTGCATATTTACAGGGAGAATATATTTTTTTTATGACAGTACAAAATGCATGAATATTTAATAAAACATTGAGGCAGTTTATGACCCAGGGTTAAAATATGTTAACTCAGGCTTAGTGTTCAAAACGGCTTTAAACTATCTTCATTTTACTACCTTTAAATGATGTCAGGCCAATAGCTTCTGCCGCTGGTGAGTCTTCATCTTCTACAAAAAAAATGTGAGAGTCATTTGTGATAACTGATTTCTGAGATTGCTCCCTTATTGCTCAGAAACATTATTATACTCCTGTATTTTGTGTACACTCTTAAAAATAACGGTTCTTTATTGGCATTGATGGTTCCATGAAGAACTTTTAACATCAGTGGTGCCTTTTAATTGCACTAAAGGTTCTTTATAGTGCCAAAAAGGTTCTTTAGTTTATTAAATTGTTTTTCACACAGAAAAAAAAAACCTTTTAAGAACTGATAACTAAAAGTTATTTGGTTCCCTTTCAACCCATCACGTTCGACTGGCGTAGTAATGTACCAACGAATTGGGATCTCACCTGAGAGCCCAATCACCTTTGAGTGTAAACCTAAACGAGCCAATGCATATTTGTATGCAATATTTGTATCGCATGCTCTGCCCCGCAGCGTGGATATAAATTCGGAAGCGGGTGCACTCACAGTTCAGCTTTTTGTTTCGGAGCAGAGCACTTGTGGCGCTACAGTGGTGGTCGCGATGTGCAAGAGCATTTTCTGCTGTTTCAATGAGAGCCTAAAAGAGCTTTCCTTTGGGCCGTTTCCCCTGTGGGCTTCAATTAACTCAGCTAACACGGGAGTTACACAGCGTCCTTTTAAAGTTGTTGTTCCACCCTTGCATTTCTGCATGTAGTCGTTCCTGTCCTCATCTAACGGCCATGATCGCTGCGTTTGTGGGTGGTTCATGTAAAAGCACAGCCGTCGGTCTTCTTGACACTGTTGGGAGATCGAGGATCTCAGTGAGAATTTATCAGCTGGGCAAAATCCCCATGGACTTCCCGCTCCTCAGTGTGTCGTGTGCCATCGAGGGCTTTTGTAGGTCTTTAATCTTCCTACTGAGAGTCAAACTATATTTGAATGTTTACATAGTATTAGTTCTTGTGACCATGTGATGTTTTTACAATTTGTCCAAAAGTGCTCCCTGGCTAAACCTTGTAAGCCTGCGAGATATCACAAGGCTCCCATCTCACAAGGGGGCCTTGTCGGCGACGCTGTCAAGCAGTGTGCCCAGCAGTTCTCAGCAGTCCAGAAGCAGGCTGAGGTAATCAAGAGCCTGCTCCGAAATGCTACCAGGCCATCGTAAGCGGGCCCCTCAGTCTGCTCGTCACCAAGGGCGTCCATTCACCTTCGAGGAAAGAAAAAAAAAGCTAGCACTATGGCGTGGCCAACTCAGCCGTGACGTCTAGCCCCCACAGGAAGACGACGACGCCAGTCTCAGCTGCTTATCCTCCAAGCGGTCGGTGAAACACCACCCCTGAGATGTGCGACTCGGAGATGGACGAAGCTGCTCTTTCCCCGGAGGAGGGACGGGTGGAGAATCTTTTGTTCAGTTTTGTTTCTGTTACACCACTGGCCACACAGCCAGCAGTACCCACATTTTCAATAAGAGAGCAGTATCCTCTATATATGGGTCCCAAGAGGGCGCTGTTGGTGGTGTACGATGTTATGCCTTACCACTCTCAGCCTTCTCTTCTGTCGTCAGCAGGCAGCAGCGTGCGCTTTGAGGATGCTCCTCGAGGAGGAAGCCTCCTCAAGCACCCTCTGCACAACCGGTGAACCAGATAAGTATTGCACCGCACACTCAGACCCCACTTCGTGGGTCACTACGGGGGGAACACTTTGCCTTCAAAGGGTGGGCATATCAGAACGCAAAGTCCTCCCCTTCTGCGGGGAAATCCCGTCCCGTCCCAATGCCAGAAGAATCACTCCCATTCCCTCCCACTCCCGGAATATGTCAGTTACAGTAAAACATACAGTAGAGATATTATACAGTACCTTGGTTGAAAAAAAAATCAATGAACCATTACTTGACTTGAACGGGTACATGAATAGACCCAAAACAACTCTAAAAATATTTGTACAAGCCATTTGGTCTAGTCTGGGTTCTTAAGGGAAAGTGTCAGAGCAGTCTTTGGGACATACCTGTCAAGTATCCCGTTTTGGCCGGGAAAGTCCCGTATTTTACCTTTCTTTCCCGCCACCCTCCCGTATTAGGATTTCCCCGTAAATCTCCCGTATTTTAACCTGCATTATTGAAAAATAATAATACCCCGGGCGGAGTAAAAAAAACCCATTCCCAATCTGAGCTCTAGCTGTCACTAGCATCGCGATAACTACAGGTAGGCCTACTGTAGGTGGCAGTTGTCGCGAGGTTAGTGTGCAGTGGTGGACGAAGTACACATACCATGTACTTGAGTAAAAGTAAAGATACTCAAGGTAAAATATTACTCAAGTAAAAGTAGAAGTGCTGCTTTTAAACATTCACTTGAGTAAAAGTACAAAAGTATTTGCCTTCAAATGTACTTAAGTATCCAAGTACTTTGATTTTTTTATGGCTATAATGTCCTATTATAATTTGTCACAAGACTCTTGCTTAACCCAGTCTAAGTGAAGACTAATGTCACTCTTGGCACACCAATCTATTAATTAAATGACATTAATAAGTCTGATATATATATATATATATAGTATATACTGTATGTATATATATTTGAATTTAATTATTTTTTTGTGTGTTTAATTTTGGAGGGAAGGGGACTGTTCCCATAAGGTATAAAACATTTAGAGTATTTACTGTATATATTTTTCTCCAGCGCCTATGGTCATAATTATTAACATCTTAATGTTATGATACATTCACATAAACCTGCACAACGCCATTAAATATATATATATATATATATATATATATATATATATATATATATATATATATATATATATATATATATATATATATATATGCACACATACACACACACACACATTCACACACGCACGCGCGCGCGCGCACACACACACACACACACATATATATATTCTATATTCTATGTTATGGGAGCCAATTTCCCTCCGAAATTAAACACAAAAACGTATTAATGCAGTGTTTCTGCTAGGCTAACGTTACTCCCCAGAAAAAAAAGCTATTACATGCAAGTAATTTTAGTGGCAACGTAAGCAATGTACATTATGCGTCAATACTTACCGATAATTGCTGCAATAATAGCTGCTGCTCTCTGTCCCGCTTAAAATCATTGTCAACGCGATTTGTTTGGAACTATTGAAAGCTAGCCTACACGAATAACGTGACCGCGCGTCGGCGAGATCACTGTCACATCTATGTTCGCAACTCTCATTTAACGGCTCTGGTTCGCGCTTAGTAGATACCGCCAAGGCAAGTTCAAAACAAAGCGCGCGCGCTGTACTGTGATTGGTGGCTCGTTCGACCAGTTACGTTTTTATCCACTCATAAATAAAAAGGAACGACTGATTTTGAAAATGTAGTAGAGTAAAAAGTAAGATATTTGACTTTGAAATGTAGTGGAGTTAAAGTAAAAGGCTCCCAAAATTTAAATACTTGAGTAAAGTACAGATATGCAAAAAAGCTACTTAAGTACAGTAACGAATTACATTTACTTCGTTACTGTCCACCACTGTTAGTGTGTGAGGTCAGATGATGAGTGACAACGCGGGGAAAACAAAAAACAAACAAAAACAGAGACGGATGATGGACGCAATGACAGAGCAAGGCACTCCTGCCAAAAAACCAAAACCCTCATGTACTAAATACTGCGATCAATGGGATAGCGAATATACTTTTCTGAAGAGGAGCAGGGTGGGGGACAGTCACGCGTTTTGTAAGTTTTGTAACTGCGACTTTAGCATCGAACACGGGCAGGGCCGTCGCTAGTGGGGTGAAAGGTGGTGACAATTATAGGGGCCCCCGCTGCCCAGGGGGCCCCACAAAATCCAGCAGTTATACTATTTAGGCCCCAGTAGTATGAATAATTCTAGTATTTATATTAGTTGTATGCCTGAGATTTAAATAAAAACCACAAAAACGTGCAATTTGGGTAAATATTTTTCCAAATATCTACTTCTCTTACCTCCATAAAAATGGTTTAGTCCGACCTAGTATTTATTAATTATTCAGTCAGGGTCAGTGACAAACATCAGATGGACCCAATAAAATTGTAAGTCCCACCCCAGCTCGTGAACAGAACCAATCAGAGTTGAGGCGGCAGCCTGAAGTTAATGATGAACTTGGTGGAAGAGCAGGAGACTTGCGTTTACACTTGGCATTAACATGCGATCACCGTGATCCGATCAAGCAGATCGGATCATTAGGCAATCAGGACATCGCGCGTTTACATTTATTCAAATTAAGCAGCCTCTGGATCTGGATAACCGATCGGATTTCTGTTTCCCGCATAATATTTAAATCAGGTCTGTGGCACGACACCAGATTAATAGTAAAGATGATACAAATTAAACAACATCCCAATTGCTTTCACTCACTCACTTTACTTTCATATGCAATCTCCATTAATTAGATCAAATTATATTTTTTGAAAGAAGGAATACTTCCAGAGTTGATCTTACAAAAATAACTGGGTTGATCATGTTAAACAAGTCACATCATCGATCATCTGGGTTTAAGGTTGCGTGCAATGACTATATTGACAGAAATGGGAGATTGATAAACATGCTAAAACAATAAAAACATTCAACATTTAAAACATTAAAAAATTCCGATTCTGATTATTCCTCTGTCAAAGCAGCTCTTCATTAAGATCTCATTACTGACTGTGAGTGTACAGGCGATCGCCTCGTTCAGATAATGTTGCACAATTAAAATGAAAAATGACACACATAAATAAACTGTTTTAAAGATTGACGTTTATTGTTCAAATAAGTTTAATTTCGTGTCTAAACTGCGTCTGGCCATTACTTTCTGACAGTCACGCGGGGAGACTGGGCGGGGATTTAAATTACGTTCACCTGTGAATGCAGACACGATGGCTGGATTGCGTTTACATTACACTGAGATCCGATCACAATGCGTCCTCGACTACCTCCGAACCGGGACACCCTGATCGGATAACATTCCGATCAGATGTGCGTTTACACTCGTCTTTTCAATGTGTATGTGGACAACATCCAGATACAGGTCGCATGTTA